AACTGTAGAACTAAATGTTACAATCAATAATTTAGACTTAGCAAACATATATAGAATTTTTTATTCATCAATGAGAAAATAGACTTTCTTTTCTGCTGCATGTGGCTACTTTTTTAATTAAACCATGTCTTATGCCACAAAATAACTCTTAGTAATTAATAAAAAGCAATAATACCCTGCATTCTATTAGACCACAATGGAATGAAGTTAGAAATCAATGATAAAATAAAAATACAAGATACTGTAACAAATGGAGACTAAATAATAAACTATTGAATAATGACTACATAGTAGAATAAATCAAGAATGATATAAAAAATTCTTACAGGTAAATGATAACACTGACACAAAATATAAAAATCTCTATGAAGGCAGGACCAACAGAAATGTTTATTGCACCGAGCACACTTATTAAAAGAATAAAAAGTCAACAAATAAATGACCTAACACTACATCTGAAAGCCCTAGAAAAAGAACAACAAATCAAAAACAAAAGCAGTAGAAGACAAGAAATAATTAAGATCAGTGCTGAAATCAATGAAATCTAAACAAAAGAAACAATTGAAAAAATTAACAAAATAAAAAGTTGGTTCTTTGAAAAAATAAGTAATATAGATAAACCCCTGGTCATGTTAAAAATAGAAAAAGAGAGAAAACTTAAGTTACTAAGATGAAGAAGTAAATATCATAAGGAACATGTCTGAAATACATAAAATAATTGGAAACTATTTTAAAAATTTATATTCCAATAAAATAGAAAATATACAAGACATCAATAAATTTCTAGAGTCATATAACCTACCAAAATTGAATGAGAAAGTTACAAATGATTTAAACAAATCAATTTCAAGTAGTGAAATAGAAAACACCATCAAAAGCCTACCAATGAAAAAAATCCCAGAACCATATGGATTTTCAGCTGAGTTTTACAGGACTTTCAATGGAGAATTAACCCCAATACTCCTCAAAGTATTCCATGAAATAGAAAAGAAGGAAACCCTCCCAAACTCATTCTATGAGAATAACACCATCCCAATATCAAAACCAAACACAGACATATCAAGAAAAAAAAACTTCAGACCAATATCCCTAATTAACATATATGTAAAAATTCTCAATAAAATTCTGGAAAATTGCATATAAAAGCATATTAAAAAGATAGTGCACCATAATCAAGTAGGGTTCATTACAGGGATGCGGGGTTGGTTCAACAAACAAAAATCAATAAATGTAATTCATCATACTAATAGACTTAAAAACAAGGATCATATGATCATCTCAATAGATGCAGAAAAAGCAGTTGACAAAACACAGCACACCTTCATGTTTAACACACTAGAAAAACTAGGGATAGTAGGAATATACCTCAACATTGTAAAAGATATATATGCTAAACCCAAAGCCAGCATCATCCTAAATGGAGAAAAATTGAAAGTACTCTCTGTAAAAACTAGAACAAGACAATGGTATCCTCTTTCACCACTTCTATTCAATATCACCCTTAAAACTTTAGCCAGAGCAATTAGAAAAAAAGAAAGAAATTAAAGGTATATAAAGAGGTAAAAAAGAACTCAAACTATCACTAATGCTGATGACATGATTCTATATCTAGAAGATTTTAAAAAATCCCACCAGAAAACTAATAGAATTAATAAATGAATTCAGCAAACTAGCAGGATATAAAATCAACACCCATAAATCAAACACATTCCTATACATCAGTGATAAATCCACTGAAAGAGAATTTAGAAAAACTACCCCATTCACAATAGCCTCAAAAAATAAAATACCTAGGAATCAATCTAAAAAAAAAGTTTAAAGACCTCTACAAGGAAAATTACAGAAAACTAAAGAAAGAAATTGGAGAAATCTTAGAAATTGGAAAGATCTTCCATGCTCCTGAATAGGCAGATTTATTTGGAAAAATAAGAGACCCAGAATAGCTGAAGCAATCCTTTGCAAAAAAAAAAAAAAAAAAAAATAGTGCAGCAAGAGGCATCACAATACCAGACCTTGAACTATTCTACAGAGCAATAGTAACCAAAACAGCATGATATAGGCACCAAAATAGAATTATAGACCAATGGTACAGAATAGAGGACACAGAGACAAACCCACATAAATATGGTTATGTCATACTAGACAAATGAGCCAAAAGTATTCCCCAGGGTAAAGATAGCTTATTGACTAAATAGTGCTGGCAAGACTGGAAATCCATATGCAGCAAAATAAAATTAAACCTCTGTCTCTCAGCCTGCACAAAAATCAACTCAAAGTGGATCAAGGATCTAGAAATAAAACCAGTGACCCTGCGTCTAATAGAAGAAAAAGTAGGCTCTAATCTTCAATGTGTTGGATTAAGGCCCAGCTTCCTTAATAAGACTACTATAACACAAGAATTAAAATCAAGAATCAATAAATGGGATGGGTTCAAATTTAAAAGTTTCTTCTCAGCAAAAGAAACAATCTGTGAGTTGAATAGAGAGCCTACATCTTGGGAGCATTATATTCCCAAGAGAAAATTTAAAATTTTAAACAGGGTTGGGATGTGGCTCAGATGTAGAGTGCCCATAGGTCAAATCTCTAGTACCATCAGAAAAAAAAGACACACACAAAAATTCTCAAAGCTGTATTATTCAAAAGAGCTAAAATCTGTCAACAATTCAAATGTAATTTACAGCAGTATGGATAAAATGTTGTACAGACACATGATAAAATACTACACAGCAATGAAAAATGTTCAGCTACTGCTACATGCAACAACATAGATAAATGTCACAGAAATAAAGTTCAATGAATAAAAGACATAAAATAGTTATTACTCCTAAGTTTCCAGTAATGTTAGGATGAAAAAGGGAATTAAAACTAATCTAGGGCGGTAAAGATCATAATATTGGTTGCATTTAAAAGACTACTGAATGGAAAGGGCAGCCATGATGGAGACTTCTGAGTGCTGAAAATAATCTTTATAAGAATAGTGGATCTGGATGGGATTGTGGCTCAGTGGTAGAGCACGTACCTAGAATGTGTGAGGCACTGGGATTGATCCTCAGTACCACATAATTAATTAAATAGATAGATCGATAGATAGATAGATAAAATAGTATGTCCTTCTACAGCTAAATATAGCTTTAGAGAAATAGTAATGGATCATGCTCGGTTTCTTCCACAATGGAGATTCTAAAACACAAAAGAAGAGAAAATTAAAGTAGTGTATATGAGCATTGGGAGTTTTAAAGGTAAAACTTTATTGGGGACATGACACCAGGTACCAGGAACGGACACTAGGAAGGCTAAAACAGGAAAGGATGGAAAGCCAAAGCAGTGGTGTTATCAGCCTTGTCACCTCCATGAAAAACTGGGATCTGACTCCTGGGAACTCCTCATCCTCCATACTGGTTGTGGCCCTGGAGAACCTACCTGAGAGTGGAGAGAGCACATATTCATGACCTGCCATCCATTAAGACCAAGGATTGCCCCGTGAGGTATTACCTCCCCCACACTTGCAGTTCTGAGCATCACAGATGCTCAGTGGCTTCTCTTCAGGTGTCCCCATCACATTGCGAGAAAAGTCTTGGGGCAAAGGTGCAGAGGGTGGGCAATGCAGCTGGAGTGAGCCTGTCACAGTTGCTTCAGTAGGAACGGGACAGAGGTGTCTGCTACTATTATGTTATATTGATAAATTGTGTGTATATGTGTGCAACACACACATAAATAAATAAATAAAAATTAAAAAAATTTTTTTTTTTTCCTTAGAAAGCCTCAAAACTCTACAGCCTTGGTTAACTGTTTAGCTCTCCACGCCACCTAGTGGTGAAATAGAAACACTCACAAGCAACASCAGGTGTTTGAAGAGAGCACTTGGGTGTTTCCCTCTGTCCCAAAGTGAAATTCTGGTGCCTGCTGTACAATGCTCACCTGCAGTGACAGCTGTTTGTCCGTTAGGACCACTTTCTTAACCCACTACTTTAAGATGAAAAGGAAAACTCATTTTGATACTTTAAGGTAACCTATATTGGTGTGGGGAGCTTTGTAGGTGACACTGTGCTGTAAAAGGAGGATTTTATCTGCCTCTGGCCACTTTCCCCATATTTTGTTCCACAGGTATAATCAGCCTTCAGTAAAATCTGGAGACTTCATTTGTAAGGTAAACAAGCCTACTTCCTCCAGTCTCCTGGGGATCACTCTGTTCTAAATCTCCAAACTAGGAGATTGGATCCAAGATGGGGGATGTAGAGGAGATCCCCTTCCTGGCTGCTCTGTGCGTGAATCTGAGAGAGTGGTTAGACGGTTTCTCCATGGGGGCTCGCCTTCACAAATTGCAGCTTCTTGGAACGTGTGACAGGATCCTAAACAGCGGATTTTCGCAGAGTCCACTATAGAGGCAAGTACAGCGCAGAACGCGCGGGAAGCGGAGTCATTCTTTGCCATCAGGAATGGGGACAGTGGCGCAGGAGCCCACCGCAGACAGAGATTGGGCACTTCCACGCAGCTCTCAGGCGGTGGAGAGGAGACGCCAGTCATTGCTCCTACAGAGCTGCAGTGCACCAGGCTGCAATATGCCTTAGCACAGGACACCAGACCGAGTTCTGGACGCAGTGTAGGGACAGCCCAGTTCCCTCCACCTCACCAGCACACCGACGTGGGAAGTGGATGGTCTCCATCTTGGAAAATCTGTCTCTTCAACTTTTGGTGGCTGTGACTGACAGCACAGATGGGCATCTGAACAGGTGTATGGTTCCCAGCACCCCCTCCCCAGCTGTGATAACTCAAAACCATTCTCACCAGCTTTTGGTGGGTAGGCTATCAGAGTGGAGTGTGACTGAGAAGGTGCCTGGTCTCCAACTCCCCCTCCCCAGCTATGATAACTCAAAACCTTTCCTGCCAGCTTTCAGTGGGTGTGGCTATCAGAGGGAGTGTTACTGAGCAGGTTGCCAGTTTTCAACTCCCTCTTTCCCCAGCTGTGATGATGTGGTGACTACCCAATGCACAGATAGCGCTCAGTGGMTCAGGAGCATGGGGTGGCCAGGGTGCTTCCCGCCTGGAGTGAGCTGAGGGCTATGTGCAAGAGATCCCGCAATTGGGACCTGGTGGGCAGGAGAGGGGAGGGGGATAGAGACTGGGAGCAACCCAGAGAGACCGGGATCAGAGAGGCACCAGGGAGGTGAAGGAGAGCCCCCTCACAYGGGATGCTTCCACCGCCCTGAAGGCAGAGACCCAACCTGGAATGCACAGTGCCACCTACTGGAAGAGAAGAAAACAGAATTCTAAGAGTGTTTTTTTTTTTCTTTTTCTTTTCATTTC